TGTATCAAGAGGGAGTTCTGAGCTGCCATATGGTGGTTGCTCACTGTCTGTTTGGCAATGCTTTCACCTGACTCCCTGGCTTCAGGGGAAAGATATGTCAGCCTGTAAAGTCATTATGAGATGAGGTGCTTTGAGAAGCAAGAAAGGAAATAATAAAAGCTGGAAGATTTGTCCAGTGGGGTGTGGAAATATTGATTCTAACTGATGTTGTGAAAAATTGGTAATAATGGATTGCCTAAGGTATAAGCTAATACTAATTTGAAATGTTTCTTGTGAAAGAATTGGTAATTAAAGATTATTGGACCATATATTGTGGATTTGATGCGAGGTATAACTTAGTAATAAGGTGGCTACATTACAATATTTAATTCTGTTAAAAATACAGAAAATGTGGCACAAGGCCTAAAAAAGGGGATGGGGAAAAGGATGGTCTTCATCTATCTTAACTTTAAACTTAGCTAACCACAAGCATTGACCCAAATGTACAAACAATATTCCTAACACCAAAACAACACATTCTTACTAACCTTTCTTACTACATCCACCATAATACCTCATTGTATCAATGAAAATCCTAAATAGTCCCCATATTTACAACTCGTCATCTGTGGGGGGAGGGGAATAAAACAACAAGTTAAAAAATCCCTAATGAGTATGTGCAATATGACTATGAATTATTACCAGTGAACTGGATTGTGGGACTCTGATAAAAGAGCTGTGAATTTAAGTCACAGAAAGGATTTACAATGCATATGAGTTGAAACTGAAGAATGGAAAATCATTCAAGATCATACTGATAGTGAAAATGCTAATGGAAACAAATAGTATAAAATAGTAGTATAATTGGAGATATAGAGGGTGGTGATCAGTGCATTTCCTTTTATTTTGGTCATATAGAAAAGTAATATGAAAGAATAGTAGAGATTGTGACTGTAATGACATAAATGTGTTTAAGGGCAAATATTAATGTATGAAGATTTTAGAAGGAAATGAATGAAGATTATAGTAACAAGTAATTTTTTATGAAAATTATGTTAATGTAGTAATTTTCACTTTAGGAACTGCAAAGAAATACATACATTGTTTGTTTAGTGGCATGTCAACACCTTATGGGTCATTTAATGCCAATATTTAATTTTGGGGGGAGCATTAGTAATTTCTTTTACAAAGACATATTGCTGGTAATATTTACTTTTGATTTTTAAAAAAAATATATTGCTGGTAATTTTTTAACTATGAAAATGTATTACTGGTATTTTTACTATAAAAATGTATTTTTATACTTTCATAGTGTTTTGACCTCAGTTTGGGTGTTAACTTTACCCATATGTAGGACCCTAGCAGGTTCTATCACCCTGGATTAGGGTGGACCTGGGAACAGCAGCAATTAAGAGGTGGTTTTTTACGCTCCTCAGAACCTCCCAATCAGAAACCTTGTTGCTGGATGTAGTTTATAGTCATAACCAGGATGCACAAAGAAATAAATGTTGGAATTTGAATGTCAGAATTTGATCTGAGAGATGTATTTAAATGAAAAGAAATTGTCACAACCAAATGTGTGCAGGTGTCAGAGAATGAAGAAAAAAACTTTTACATTTTTACAAAGTGTTAAAAGATAATGGACTTGGATGCTGTTAATTTTCATATCAGGGATTATGGATTGTTCTTTTTGTTTGTAATTTATAAAAGATTTGATAAATGACAAGATGGGGAGGTATTTGATAATATGGACACCCAAGTAGACATGGAGGCGATTGTTTTAACTCGATCTCGGGTGTTTCTGTTTGATAGACCAATGGGTGGTTCCTTTTGAAGTTCAGTCTTGTAAATGGTGTCCACTTTATCCAAAGGGGAATGGGAAGTGAAAGGGTGGATGAGGGATCTTTGAGGATCAAATGGCAGCAAAACTAGAAATAGGGTATACATCCAGGTACTGGTCTGTATTAACAGTCATGCTTAGGGTTGGGAAGAGTTCTGGATCGCCCTTGGTGGGTGATGGATATGTCCACAATGCAGTTCTGAAGCCTCTATTCATATTGCCAGCCACCACTTGGGATGAGTGGATGGGTGAGGAGTTGGTAGGGGGAAGAGCTGACATAGCAGAAGTTGTCCAAAGTATCACCTCCCTACCCACTTGAGAGAGCAGACAAATCCCTGAATAAAACTTCTATATATAATATGGTATAGGGTTTGCATTATTATTTCTTGATGTTGTCTGTTTTTCATTGTTACCTTGTGAGGATGCAGTGCACCCTTCTCCAGTTTTTAATTCACACCAACAAGATTGAGAATTGGAATGTAATGTAAGATGGCCGGTCAATGGAAGGTTTGGGTATGCTTGCAGTTTTATAATTTTTAGTAAATATAATTAAAAAATAATAAATATATTTTTAGTAAAAAATTTATTCACTATCAAATAAGAAAATCTTGAAAGTTTCACCTGAAACTTTACAAAATTAATTCGATAAATATATCTTTTGTCGTGAGTTGGTGCTAGTATAATTTAATAAGACATACTTTTTCCTTCAGATATGACAAGGAAAAATCAGCCATGAATATTTATTTTTGAAAAAATTACTTATAATTTTTTAGTGGGATTTTGTAATCCCCTGGTTGCTGATGATAAAAGAAACTTTTTAAATAATGTATTTGAAGAAATATTGGAAATATTTTTAAAGAATTCCTTCTCTTTCTACAAATGTTAGATTATTTTTTGTATGGAAGATCAAATAGGAAATAATTCAATATTTTGTAATTACCTCTCTTTGTTATAACTCTATTGTTTTCATCAGTGATTCTATATGCTATAGCTGCTTATGAGACAGATGAATTAGGAGTAACAGTCCAAGGTGGGAAGAGAGGATATTGTTGCATACTCCCTATCTTCTGGGGAGGTCTTGGCCACTGTATCAAATAAACAAAATGTTGTATATCCACTTTGTTCTGAAGCAGTCTTTTGGTTGACAAGGTTGATTCCATAATAATAATGTTGCTTCTTTTGCTAGTCTTCTCCTGGCCAGGTGTCAAAATGTTTTTGGAGTCCAGAGATGAAAGAGAACTTCAACAAAAGGGATTTTAAACTTATCTATTTTATTAAGCATGTCGATGTGTACATTTTTAACTAACCAGTGGGATCACTATATCACCCCCACGGGGGTGGGGTTGCAAGTTCCATACACGAATATAATATGTCTACATTCTTCAACGTGTAAAACTTAACTCCCTCAAATCACTTTCTATCTCTCTAACATCCCACATTTAGCTCAGCCAGCCAATATAAACATCCCTATTTTGTCTACCATCTGATCTTAAAGGTCAGCTTCAGAAGGTCTGAGCTAAAATACACTGCCACTAAAAACATAATAGTCTGAAACTATTATTTAACAATAGAAAAAATATTTTCAGGGCCAACAACAAAATTCCTTGAAAGTTTTCAAGATAGCACTTTATTTGGCTTAATAAATTTCTTATTGAAAATAATGTTAGGAATAAAATAAAAATGACCTGAACTTATTGGCCCTGTTTCTTAATTTTGGTCTTCTGTATTTATTTAAATTTGAATAAATTTTTTTTTTTTAAGTGGTAGTTGAAGGTGGAGACTGTGACTGGTTGACCTATGAACTTAACTGGTGGAATATAGCTTGCTGTGATCTAATGTTTCTTGCTATATTTTTAAGCCTAAAGTAATATTTTCCCGAAAATCCTTAATTTTAATAATTTTCGTGGAAATAAATCTATGAGATATATTTGATTTTTAAGAGATTTTTAAAATGTGTTAAAGTTGGATGAAGTGAAATTATACCAAATTCAAAAGTTAATTTTTAACTTAAAAATAAAACTTTCTACCAGGATTTATTATTAATTCAATATTCAAGTTTCTGTTTAACAGACGAATTGAATGTAAAACTGGACCTTGATTTTGTGTCCGTGTGCAGAAATATGGCTTTGAAAGAAAATGGAATAAATATATTAAAAAAAGTAAAAGAAGAACATCCAGTTGTAATAAGATAGAAAATTATGAATGTGAAAATAATACCTTTTTGTTGTTTTTAACAATAATGGCACAGAATTATTTTATTTTCTCAGCCATATTTACGTAAACGAGTACAAAATCAGGGACCAGTTTTACATTCAATTAACTTGTTATCCTGAACGTCAATGGTTAACTTAATTTTTCTCAAATAAAAAATAATTATTCAATGAATATGATACAGACCCGAAGAAAGCAAATTACATATAAGAAAAATCCATTTTTCTCTGTTGCTGTTCGTGTTAAATGTCAGATATTCATTGTTAAATACTAAAGTACTAACCTTAACTAAAAAAAATAGCACATTCACAAATAAATGACACTAATGTAGGGTACCCAATAAGGCTCGAACTCGCTACTAGCCTGCAAAAACATTGCTCCTTGGTGAAGTATCTCATTATTTAACATTAACAACCACTTAGTATTTTTTTTTTTTTTATAACAGACGTAATAAAATTAGACATAATGAAAAATTGAAATAGAAGTAACAAAAACTGTTTTTTGTTTATTATGGTTTTCAATTTGTACGATTTTTTTAAAAATAAAATTTGTTTAATGCTGGTGTAATTTTTTTTAGTTTAAGGAATTTGCCTTTTTTTTAAATTGTCGGAAAGAAAATAGAACAGTTTTTACTTTAGCCTGCATCATTTTTTTTCTTACATAAAAAATCTAAGCAAAAAAAACACTCACAATGTTGATTTTCAGAAACTAAATTAAGTTTTTAAACACGTGATGTGAAAAAGTATAATAATCGCTATTAGTCCGTAAGCAAGCATACTACGTATTTTTCATGTAAAAAAAAAACAAACTATTGTAGTGTTTTTTTGTTTTTTTGTAACTACAGTGAAAAAGTATTTGGATTGCTTTGGGTACTTTGTGAGGGTAGGAGAGAATAAAATTATTTTGCACATGTATAATAGCGACACCTGCCGACGTTTTTAAAATGCAAGGGAGGTAATTTGGTTGTCACATGATTTTCTTAAACAAGAAAAAGGGGAAAAAACATTCACCAAACAAAAAAAACAAGTTCTATGCGGAAGAACTCCGTGAGTTGAATTAACAATATTTAGCGTTTTGCGTTTCATTTCTCTTACGATTCAAGTCGTTAGAAAGTATTGGATTATAATTGTTAAATTAATATTGATTTGATAGCGGTGTAGTTAACCGTTCAAATTTAACTTTACAAGCAGTTTGTTTCCTACATTATGTGATTGTCTGCTTCAGAAACTGTGGTTCTTTCACTTTTTACAGGTGTTGTTTTATTTAACCAAAAGTTCAAGATAACAAAATTCGTTTAAGTGTCATTTAAATGTTTTTGTCTTATGCTATTGTTTTATTTTGAGGGACTTTAGTTAAATGAGAATTTTTTTTATCATCTGTTTCATTTCTTCAAAATTATGTAAAAACAAAAAAAGCTTGAAGGGTTTGTTTGTGTCATTTGTCAGCAGTATTTACTTTTGTGAACAGTCTTGATTCTTGAAAATACAAGCATTTAATAATTTATCTATATCTTTCATCCTCTGTCACTATGAAAGTTAAAAATACATATAAAATTTTTGTTTGTCTAATTTTAAAATAACTTACCTATGTATTTTTTTCCTTTAAAAGTACTTCCCTTTTAATTTTACAGGTGTACAACAACGATAGTATTTTGTTAGTGTGTTGTTACCCACTTTTAGTACTTTTTTAAAAAAATTATCTAACAATTTACTTGAAACTTTTATTAAGAAATAAATTTTATGACGTTTTCTCTTTATTTCAAGTTTGTTTTATTGTTGTACGTTTTCTTGGTTTGTTTTTCTTTGATTCCCAATTAAAAAAAACTTGTCCTCATGAAATATTTCAATAATTGTTCAGTGCAAAAATAATGCTATATTAATTTTCCCATTAAATGATCACAGATGTTAGAAATGTTGTTTCACATTAAATAAATAAAGTTAAAAAGTGTAGCTAAGCTCTTTTTAACAATTTTTTATCATTATTTGGGTGGGGGTGATGTTTTTGTTCTATACACACCCAAACTCCCCCCCCTTTTATTTTTGTGACAATAACGGTGACCCTCCTAGTTAATTCCTTCGATTACAATGTCCCGTTTACTACTCCCATTTAATTTTTTTTTTTAATTTTAAATTAATGATGTTGGAAAGTGAATGTAAAATTCACTCTTTTGAAACCATAGACTTTGTTAAAATTTTGTCAAAATGGTTTCAAAAAAATTACTTGTTATTCAATTGTTTTAATGTTAAAATCTAAAAAAAATAAAGACGCTTTTGCTTGAAAATGTGTTTCAATGAATTCAAGGGAAAAAGAATTTTTGTAGGATTTTTTTTTTTAAAACTGTTTTTGTTTTTTATGGGGGTAACTATTATAAGATGGTTATTGAGCCATTTTCGAGGGGTCGAGAATTTACATTCAATAAGTAAAGTTGATCATTTTGAGTTTTGACATTTAAGAAGAATCTTATCTTAAGTAACGTTTGTGTCCCAAAACTTCAAGTTTTAAGTAATAAAACTAAAAGTAAGTAACTTAAGACATGAACTTTTGGCACGCAAAAGTTTTTTCTTAATTTTTTAGCTGCCATTTAATAGCACAAAATTACTCTAGTAAAAAAAGAGTTATCAATGAATAATATACCCTAATTATTAATTGAGCATAGATGTTGAACAAGGCTGAAAGTCGGGAGCATTCAGTTGTAATTTCTCTCTAGAGCGAGACGAGCATGCTAACCATTTTTACAGCACATCAAAGTGTTTATGTTGGTATTATTAATTTATTAAAGTTTTTTTTCAAGATGTTGAGAGGAGAGGTTAGGTAGAATGTTTAAAAGATTTTCCCCTCCTAAGTACATTTTTATATGCTTTGAAACAGCAACATTTTTAATTTAAGCAAACATTTTTTATTCGTTTAATTACAAATCATTCTGAGTGCAAAAAAAAATGGTTCTTTCTATATAAAAAAAAATGCATAATGTTCCAAGTTATTTTCAGAGATATTCAAAAATAGAACTTTTGTGAGTTTAATAATCTATGAAAACTTTGTACCTCCACCCGACACGCACAAAGCAACGATACCTAAGTTTTAAAAAATGAAAAAAAATCCTTTCTTGATGCTTTAATTTTAATTTTAATTTTAAATCAATAGATTATATTTTTTCCAATTAGGCAAAAAATAATTTATATTTCAAACCGAATTTAAAATAAATTGATTGGAATCTTTTTCTCCTTAAAATCTAAATTCATCCATATTGATAGATTTGTCAACACAACATAATTTTCTTAAAAAAATCTTTAAAAAATAAAATACTTTTGCGAAACATTATTTGAAAAAAATTACTGATTTAAAGTTTAATTAATCTGAATCAGAACCAATATTTACTTTTAGTAGTTTAAAATTTTGCAGAAAAGCATTTTTTAATATGGCGTGGATGTTGGGGGATTTATATTGACAGGCTGTTTGGGAAATTTAAATAAGGGGGACAGAACTGAAAACGATTACTTGACAAATACAGCATGAATGCTTTTTTTGATATAACTTTTTAATTACCCAGTAAACTTAAAAATTTAAGAAAATATTTTAAGCAATCTAATATTTTATTGAATTTATTTTTGGTTATTTTTTTTTTTTACTCTGAAATCTAATTTTTTTATCTTAAAAATAACTAAAAAAATTTTAAATTTTATTTTTTATTTATTTATTTTTTTTTATATGTGACTATCCGTTCATTTATCAATTTAAAAAAAATCCTTTGATACTTAAAGTATAAAATGTGTATAATCCTGTTTTGTTTTTTTGTTTTTTTTTTTTGTTTGTTTTTTTATTGTCCTCTCTCTCGACATTTTCTCATATTCTTTCACTCTCAGTAACCCTTTGCGTCTTAGTGGCTTTATTATCACCTTGCTTGGGGTGAAAAATAATTAAAAATAAAGTCACTTATTAGTCAAACTTGGTTATTCTCAACTTTTTGTGTTGCTAAATCTGTAACCAATAATTAAATCAATTAAACTGACTGTTGGCCTTGACACTTAATTATAGTCTAATCTACATTTAGCTTTTGGTTCAGACCAAAATAGAATCAGAATTTCTTGAGTTTCTGTGATCTTCCAGAAACAATGTCTTTTTTCTTGATATTAGAAAGATTTTAAATAATTACAAATACAATTTTTATTTAAACAAACAGAAATTTTGTTTCTGGTTTATCATAACACTATATATAATGAACTCAAATTCCAAGTGATTTCACTAGTGTTGTGAGTTTAGTCCTTACTGGATGATCTATTATAAAACCTGTATCAGACCCAGTTAAGCTTGGTAATTAACTTTGGATAAAATCAATTGGTTGAATATCTTTTGCCAATGAATATTTTTTAACTCAAAATAAAAGCCATAATCTTGCCTTTGATTTTTCAAAGCAGGCCTTTATCACTTAAAACATTTTCCAACATTTATTCCTCTTTTCTTTATTTGTTTTTCACTATATGCAGATTAGTAAATATTAAAGGGACAACTTAGCTTAATTTTATTGATACCCAGTGTTGAATTTAATCATTTTTTGAAGAGCTATTGCTTTCATTTTACCTTGTACAGATTAAGTATTTATGGTATTCTGGTATTGTATTGGTGAATTCTCAAATATACAATTCATATCTTATTTAATTACAACTCTATGGGAAAAATATTAGTCAATTATATCAGTGCTGTTAATGACTTGTGGCGCAATGCAATCGTTGCTTGTTAAAAGTTCTAGTTCCTGACAGTCATCATCATCATTCCCTTGACTTTTGTAATCGTAGTGATCTGAATGCAGAAGCCACACTGAATCTCCTCCACAATGGTCTATCAATGGCTACTATCAGCAATTCGGGTATAGTCATACCTGTCCATTGTTTGACATTATCCAACCAGTTTTTGTGTTGGTGTCCTCTCCTACATCCACCTTCAATGGTGCCTTTAAAATTGATCTTGCACAGGCTGTCATGCTTTGTAACATGTTCAAACCATGTCATTTGACAGTAGTGACAGTGGTGAGAAGAGGTTTCTGGTTGCCCACAAAACTTTAAATCTTTTTTCCACACAATCATATTGGTTTTATGTTCCCAATAGAAGATGCCAAGGAGTTTTCTCATGCATTTACTCTCAAACACTTGGATTCTTCTTTCTGTTTCTGCCAACAGTGTCCACATTTCACATCCATATGGGAGAATGGAGACTACCAATAATTTGTATAATCTGTACTTTGAAAGTTGATTTTCCTACTCCATATTCTTGCCAATCTGGTGATGGCTGCGGCAATCTATGTACAGATATCCAAGTTGCAGGTACCATCTTTAGACAAGATTACTCCTAAATATTGAAAACTAGAAACTTCTTCCAGTGAATTATTGTCCATGGTAATTTTGACACATGCTATTAACCATTACATTGGATTTCTTGGAGCTGACCACCATTACATATGATCCTGCTCTTTCAAAAAGTTTGTTGATCAAGTCCTAGACCTCACTGTTACTAACTGTTATGAGGTCAATGTCATCTGCAAAACGTAGCTTACATATGGGTCTGCCACCAATGGAGATTGAAGGATCATGGTCTTTTAGGGTTTCTTTCATGATTCTCTCTAGAAATAAATGTGGGTGAAAGTATGCATCTGTCTCCTGCTGACAGTTGTCCGGAAGAATCCTCCCATTTGTTTTCCCAAAAGAACTGCGCTGATGGCATCTTTTTATAGGGCCTGGATGACTTGGATAATTCCATTATCTACATTGAATTCCCTAATGATTTGCCAAAGACTGTCATGCTATATATGATCAAATGTTTTCTTGAAATCAACAGTAAGATGGTCAATTTAAAGTATAAATTGTATGTTCATTTTAAAATTCTACATTTATTAGAAAATATATTCAGTTTAAATACAAGCTTGCAGATGAAGTATTAAAGACAAGAATTCATGTAAATATTTAATAGAAAAATGCTCAGCTCTATTTGAATTTGTGTTACTTAAAGAGTATAAAATTTAACTATAAATGCTTAAAAGCTGAAACTTTGTAGATAA